TTCTTGTGCTCGTGGTGGTGGTGGTGGTGGTGCTCGCTGTGCTTGGAGGACGCTGGCTCCTTGGCGAACATGGCCAGTGGCGTGGCCACCGCGGGATGTAGGCTCATCTCCAGAGGCGACGGCTCTTTACCTTCCAAGTGAAAACACAGACAGGTTAACACCTGTCAGAGACCAAGAAGGGGCTGAGCCTCTCAACCTCAAGGCTCAGATACTTAAAGTTCACTGGGGTGAAAATGTACAAATCTTGTTTTCATTAAATCATTTATTTTGTTTTATAATGTTAATTGAAACTGGCTAAATAATTCATTATTTACAATGCCTAGTCAAATCCTTATTACACCTTTTCTTTCCCTTATCTATTTGTCAGGTTTGGCTCCTTTCTTTTCATCCTTGTTAACCCTCTTAGATGGATTCTGAGTGTTAACCCTTTATAAGCCTTTTACCTGAGTGGTATTCTACCGAAACTGCCCTTTTGTGATTGATTTATGTTACTCAGCATAATTTATTTTGGATTCATCCATGGTATGCACTATTTCACAAATTCTTGATCATTTTTCAGTGATGTATACACTCCACTGTAAGAATTTAACAGATTCTTTACCCATTCATCCACTGATGGGCACTTGGGCTGTTTCTAACTCTTTGCTATTGTAATCAATAATGCAATAGACACAGGAGTGTGCATGTCACTTTGTACCACAGCTCTTATTTCTTCAGGAGGTATACCTCGTAGTGAGACTGCAAGGGAGCCCTGGTGGTGGAGTCCGGAGGGAGCGGGTTGCTCTGGTAGTTTGAGTCCACTCTGTGAGGGAAAGACGGCCAATAAATAGTCTCCTACGTGATTTACAGCCTCTGAAAACCTGCTAGAGGGTCAGTTTATGAGTTTGTTCCAACTCAAGGGCATGGTTTTTAAGGGGAAAGGATTAGAAGTACAACTTAAAAGTAATTATACACCAGGTCTCTGGAGCCTAGTGACAAAGAGATGCAATACTAATTCAAAGACAAATAGTTCAAATCCACCTGTTGCTCCCAGAGAGAAATATAAGCAACCTATTCCTGTATGATTACAGCCTCTGAAAACCTGAGGGAGAATGAGTTATGACAATGAGTTGAGAGGTGTGAGGGGCTTAAATTCATTAATCTATTGGTTTTAACTGACTGCCTACTTACTCCGTGGTGCTTTTATTAAGGTATCTGGCTGCAAACCAAAAGATTGACGGTTTAAAATCAACCAACCAGCTGCTCCAAGGAAGAACTATGAGAGTTTGTGTCTTTAAAGAGTTTTCTAGCCTCGGAAACCCTGTGAGGCATGTCTACTCTGTCCTGTGTTGTTGTCATGAACCACTGAGTTGGAACTGACGCACAGCTGGCCCTCCAGCAGGTCTGCAGATGCAGTTAATCACATAGGAGGTGGTTACCCATCCTTCTCCTGGGAAGAAGCCGGTGGATTTGAACCATGTGTCTCTGAGATTATAGCGCAGTATCTAACCACTCCATGGCGGTGGTTTTGAGTTTTGGTATTTCCTTTGTGACTGACTTTTCCAATATTTAAAAAACAAGTGAACAAACTCAAGCAAAGTTTCTGTCCTCAGAGATTACATATTCGTAATGAGGGAGCTCTGGTGGCCTAGAAATAAGAAGCTGCGCTGCAATCCCAAAGGTATGAGGTTTGAAGCCACCAGCTGCTCTGCTGGCTAAGATGGGCAACTTCCTGCTGTGTGATTATGGTCTCTGAAACCCACAGGAGGGTGAGCTGTTAGTGGGTTCTCACCAACAGTACTCTGCAGTAACAACCAAAAAAAAATGAATAATTTTATTTTAACCATCTAACCCGATAATTATGCAAAAACAAATAGATTATGGAATGAAGCAAGTTTGGGGATCTGTATCTTCTGTATTACTTGGTACCATGCCGTGTGTCAGAAGAAGAAACTGATATTATTTGATTTTCAATTTGTCTCCATATAATTCAGATTTATAGTAAATGAAAATTTTTATATAACATTTATATACATTTTTTACATGATCTGATTCGCAATTTGTCACTATATAATTATACTTGATAAATTATTTTTATATTTTAAAATTATATATAAACTTAATACATATTAAATGCTTTAATATTTTAAAGACATTAACATGAATATGCTGATGTTTTTATAAGCATAAGACAACAGGCTCACACCTAACAGAATACAGAGGTACTGAGAAGCAAATGGGAGATTTCTAAAGATTTGTGAACGAATTCCTTTACGGCCTATCTCATCACTTGCTTATTCTCCATCCACACCTCTGGAGGATCCTGGTTGGCTGTCTGCACTGCTGGAGTCTGATGTCTTCTGCACTAAAGGAACATTCATTATCTAATCCTAGAAACCTGTCAAGCTACTTGGACTGCAGAAAAGCCAATAATTATATTGGAACCTAAACTTTTTGTAGAGGCAACAGTTCCAGGGAATTTTTATTACTATTTCAGATATGAATTCAGGCTCTAGCCTTGAACATAAAAATGTACTGATTAGAAATCTTTCTCTTGATTTGCAGGAAGTCCATTAAGAAGACCAACAAGTTCCAAGGATAATGTTTTTCAGAGTCAGGACTCCCAGGACAAATGGCTGGTTCCAGTTATCGCTCAGCACATTTGCAAAGTGAGTCTGAATTATCTGACAGCACCAATGTTTAAATGTCACATCCAGTGGACTCAGGAATTGAGAAGAGGCTCTCACTGGTGAGTCAGGGCTGACTCACAGCTGAACCTCCAGGGGGCTTTTGAGAGGCAGTACCTCACACTGGGGGAGACTGCCCATCCTTCTATCCCAGATGTGCCAGAGGATTCGAACAGGCTGAGAGGCACCAACTTTGCATTAGCAGTGCAACTCCCTACCCACTAGACCACGAGGGCTCCTATGGAGTAAATGTCAAAGGACAGAGGTTTCAAGCTATACTTATGCTCTTTTAGGGGTTCTTTACTGTCGTTATGTACTGTCAAGTCCATTGAAATGTAGTAACCGTGTGGACAAAAAGCTCTGAAGTCTGTTCTATCCTGGGCCGTCCTCACTATCTCTGATAGAAAGACTGTTTTATGTTGTGGATTAGGACTAATAGCATTCTTCCAAACTTTTCTTTAATGAAGCTTATAGTCCTTGGTTTTTGTCCTAGGTCCATGACACAACCTTGCTTGCTGAAACTGAGGAGGACCTCATGCACTTGCTGTGAAGGGTCAAGGACTGCAGCCTTCAGTATGGACTGAGGCTCAATGTCAAGAAGACAAAGATTCTCACCACTAGACCAATTGGCAGCGTCAGGATGGATGGCGAAGAGATTGAGATTGTTCATAGCTTCAGTTTGCTCGGCTCCACAGCCAACACTCTTGGCACCAGCAGTCAGGAAATCAAAAAGCATATCGTGATGGGAAAGTCTGCTGTTAGGGACCTCTCTAAAGTACTCAGGAGCAACGGTGTCTCTCTGGAGACTAAGGTGTGCCTGATACAGGCCATGGTCTTTGCAATCGCTTGTTATGCATTAGAGAGTTGGACAATGACTAGGGAGGACAGAAGGAGAGTGGATGCTTTTGAGCTGTGGTGCTGGAGAAGAGTACTGAATGTACCACGGACTGCCAGGAAAACAAACAGATTGATCTTGGAGAGGATTAAACCAGGCTACTCCTTGGAGGCAAGGATTCTGGGACTTCGTCTGACATATTTTGGACATGTTGCCAGGAGGGACGGGTCCTTGGAGAGGGACATCATGCTTGGGAGGGTGGAGGGGCAGCGCAGGAGGGGAAAGACCCTATATGAGATGGATTGATTCGGTGACTGGGGTAATCAGGATGGGTGTGTCAGAGGCAGTGCGGTTGGTGCAGGATAGAGCAGGGTTTAGGGCTGTTGTGCATAGGGTCGCTATGAGTCGGAAAGGACTCGATGGCACATAACAACAAACAACAACAACAATTATACCCAAACTAGGATTATTTTAACAGTCACGTTTATGGGCCTTTATCAGCTTTGTATTTCATGGTTACTTTGTTGTTGTTAGGGGGAAGTGAGTTGGGTACGACTCACAACAACCCTATGGACAGGTGTGAACCCTGTCTTATCCTGTGCCATGTTCATCATCTCGTATTTCTGAGCCCACTGCAACAGTCATGGTGCGAATCCATGTCGCTTAGGATTTTCTTCTCCTTTGCTGACTCTCCACCTTTACAAGCTTGGTATCCATTTCCAAGGAACAGCCTCTTCTGGCAACAACAAGCCTGATGTACAAGAGATAAAGTTTTGCCGTCCTCACTGCTAAGAAGTACCTGGCACTTCCCCCAAGACTTATCTGTTCATTTTTTAGCAATCAATGGGATATTCAGTCCTCTTCTCCAACACTGTCACTGGCTGGTTCCCTGGCATATAGCAAGTGACTGAAAAATCAATGCCTGGCTCAACCAGGCATATCAGATTGATGTCAGTCTTCAAACTGACATCACTGCTCCTCAGTCATTTGGAGAGCTGCCTGAAAGCAGATTTGCCCAATGCAATACATCTCTTGATGGCTGCTACCAAGGTGTTGATTGTGAATTCAAGTTAAGATTAAATTACCGACAGTTTCAATCTTTTCTCCGTGATGTTGCCTATGCATCCAGTGGTGAGGATTTTTTTTCGGTCTTCTTGATGTTGACATACAATTCATATTGAATGATGCAGTCTTTGATCTTCTGCAGTACTAGTGAATGGTTACGAGTAAATATTATTTTGCAGTGGAGATGTGGTGGCTCTGTGGGTAACACATCTTGTAGCCAGTCAAGAAGCCCAGCATTTCCTGCACCGCAGCCTCTCCCTGGGAGAACGAGGAAGCAGGCTGCTCCTGTAAAGGTTTACAGCCTTGGAAACCCAGCAGGGTGGTTCACTCCGCACTGCAGAGTCAGCATAAGAGGGAATTGACCCAAAAGCAGTGAGTCACTAGCATACTTTCTTCTGAAAAAGAGTTGCCATGGTGAAAAGAGTAGAGTTTTGAGAGGGGAAACTACAAACAATATCAAATCTGACATTTACAATCTGAAATCATGGGTATGGATAATAAAACCACAAGTTCTCCTGCTCATGAATTTCAGGGCAATAGTCCTAGAAATCAAAACAGCTAAGA